AAAAAAGTGAAATTTTCAAACAAAATAAATATTAAAATAAATTCAGTAAAAGTGAACACTCTGTTTAGACAACGTACCTTGACCCCTTGGAAGAGTGACAACGTTGCACGCGGGTGGCACGCCGACAAAAGACACCGCTGTCGATATGTCGCAATACCGGTAGTTTGCACTGCGTGGCAACGTCGCTTTTTAATGTTCAAGGATTCAAGTTCATTGAATCATTGACTTAGTGACCCAATTCTATAGAGTGTTCAAATTTGCTCAAAATTAAAACTCTACTTTTTGACCTAATTACTGGACCGATTACGTTCATTTTTTGTATATGGTCAGCAAAGGCGATAACAAGTATATGGTTTCATTTATTGCATATATGTGGGACCCATTCTGAATATATATAAAGGCACGTATGGCAAAAGTTGGGTGTGGCAGAAGAAGCACGAGACTAGAATGAACGCAGTAGAAATGCGGTCGTTAAGGAGTATGTTAGGGCTGAATCTGAAGGACAGGGTAAGAAACTGTGTAATAAGAGAAGAGTGTGGTTTGCAAGATGATGTTGTGACCAGGATTAAGAAAGGAATGCTTCGGTGGTTTGGTCATGTTGAAAGAATGAATAAGAAAAGAGTGACAAAGAAAATTTATGTTGCAGAAGTGAATGGCAGAGTCGGAAATGGACGTCCTAGGCGAAAATTTATCGACCAAATTGGCGATTTATTGAAAACGGGCCAAATTAGGAGTACCCTTAACCGACGAGCATGTATGCGTAGGTGTATTGATGTGAAGGAGGCGAGAGAGGTGTGTCAGGATCGTGCCAAATAGAAGTCTGTAGTTTCTGCCTACCCCTCTGGGTGACAGGCGTGAGTGTTTGTGTATATACAATATATATATATATATATATATATATATATATATATATATATATATATATATATATAATTTTGATTATATACTTTTATTAATATTATTTAAAACATATCGCATGTTATATTTATTCTATGTGACTTTTATTGTAAATTACACTTTGGAAATCTCGTATTCGATCTCCATATGCAACGCTCACTTCATGTCTAAGTACATTATGATCGAAAAGTATGTAATAAAGTCAAGAGGGGGAGCCAGGAGATCCATAGCACAGGGTAACCTAGTTTGGGCTCCTGTCTCCCACAGCTACTCAAAACTTTCAACTATTTATGAATCAATTGTAACTATGTAAAAAGTGGGAGAAATAAATGTTTATGTGTATATGTAGACTTGTTTGTTTGAAATTGGCTGCTAGTTTCCTCAAATTATATTGGCTACTTACCAATAGGTGAATATTTCACTTACATTTTATTAAAAAATAGACAAAGAGAGTAAAACTTATCGCGGTACCAACAAAGTTACCCAATACCAAACATGTTTTATTTTTCTAGTTTTACTAATAAAAATAATTAAAAAAAATCATTTTATTTATTTATTTATTTATTTGGTCTACCAACGACTGTTACATTACAGAAACTTAAAGTAGTTACATTGTAATAAACTATTATGAGCTAAATGCACAATCAGTTACAGGTAAACACAACGTGCTATTTTAACATGTGACATAAGTACCTTTTACATCAATAAGGTTAATTTTAAACTTTTTATAACAGGTAAAAGATAGGTGTAATTAATCTGGGATTTTTTTTAACAAATGTGCACGAAACTGGTTAAGTTTAAGAGAGAAAACATCCTTGGGATCATTAATAAACCACGTATTTAATGCGTTACACAGACAAGGAACTGGTGAATGTTTTCCTAAAGCAGTCCTGTGGAATGGCGGATAAAATAGAGAAACGGGTTTCTTTAGAAGCTGAGGGCAGTCAATTTATTAAAAAATTTATAAATGAATATTAGGTCCAAAAGGGTCCTTTATTTATTTAACGAGGACATTTTAAAGTGTTTGAGGTTTTCATGATAGGATAACTTTTTCTTTGAAACTTTGGAGATGTGAGATAAATGCCATAAAAAGCGTTTTTGGACCCGTTTTATTCTTAATATGTGCGTGGCATTGTGTGGCCTCCATACAACAGGGCAGTATTCAGGAAGACTACGTACTTGTGCTTTGTACAAAGTGATACGTGTCTGCAAGTTTTTTAACACTTTACTGTTTCTAATAATAAAGCCCAGCATATTAGATGAGCGCCTAACAATGCTTTCAATATGTGGTACGAAAGTTAATTTGTTATCTAGAATTATTCCCAGGTCCTTAATTCTATCAATTTCTTTTAATGGTTTACCTTTCTTTTAATGTTTGTTTTTATAATATTTGGATTTAGTTTTACTATGTTTGCGTGTAAATTTAATAAAAAAGCATTTATCTATATTTAATTCCATCCCATTTGTACAGCACCAATTGTATAACCTATTTAAATCATGTTGTAACATAAGAACATCAGCTTGGGACTTAATAGTTCTGACAATTTTCAAATCATCTGCGAATAGATAGGGCGTTGATGAAAGGAAACTATTGGGCATATCGTTGATATATACGTTAAAAAGAATTGGTCCCAAATGGGATCCTTGAGGAATTCCTGAAGTTATCTTGTGGGTTTCAGACTTATAGCCTTTAGCAACAACGAAGAAACGTCTATTCGTTAGATATGAATTAATCCAGTTGGCAAAATTTCCTGTAAGCCATAGGCAGCAAGTTTGTCTATAAGAGGTAAGTGGGGTATTTTGTCGAAGGCCTTGCTGTAGTCTGTGTACAAAACGTCTACTTCCTCCTGTTTATCTAGAGCTTTAGCAATTCCTTCGACAAATGTGACTAAGTTTGTGCAAGTGGATTTCGATTTTAAAAAACCATGCTCACGTATTGCTTAAAATGGCTTTGTATGGACAAACAACAGATTCAAAAACTTTTGCCATTGTCGACAAAATTGAGATTGGTCGATAATTCGATACTAAGTTCTTGTCACCAGATTTATGTATTGGAACTACTTTGGCTATCTTTCAGACATTTGGAAAGGCACCTGTCAATAAGGAGTAATTAAAAATGTATTTTAAAGGTACAGCCAGTGTTATAGCACAGTTTTTGATAAAAATAGGTGGGATTTCATGTGGGCCTGCGCCTTTATTTGTATCAAGTGATTGTATTTTTTTTAGTATTAACTCCCGAGATTCTCAAGGCTGAAGCTATTTTGTGCTATATAGTTGAGAGAGGTAGAAGTTGGACGGACTACATTCTGAGTTCTTGAGTCTGTTATAGCGAATGATTTCGAAAATGATTTAAGAAATTATTTCTAGAAATAGAGCTACAAACCTGAACATTGGAAAAAATAGTAACTTATATTAAATTAATTTTAGCTTATATTATATTAAATTAAATTCTTATTACATATAAAAAAATTACTGGCGGAGCCCAAACCAGGCACAGCCTGTATCTTGGGGACCAGGAGTACGGTTATCAGTTTTACTTACGTAGTTAAAAGTACTGACATTGTACAAAACAACAAATCATTTCTTAGTTTAGGAGGATAGTTTTTAACTATTTGTCGCTTGCATTATTATTTATTTATTATTCCTAGACAACATATGGATACGATATTTTTGTTAATTTGGTATTATTTTTGCTTTAATATTAAATTTTCGGTGTCATTATAGTTCAGTGTGGTGAGATACCTTTTTACTATTTATATAGCTTTCAATGTAAGTATTTTGTTATAGATATGACGATGTGAGAACTGCGGAAGGCGTTGCGCGAAAACAAACCTGGCAGCCGGAATTGGGATTTTAAATATACGTTTAGTGATTAGGTGGTCGTAATTAAGTGACTGAATTACTTGCCCATGGGCTTTTAATACTGCGGATAGAATATGCAATTACCTTACACTCAAAACCTCGTTATACCGATAAAGATCGATAAAAACTTACATATATTTCAAAAAAATACTGTTTGGAAGGAGTTCCAAATATCTAAAGAAGTATCCAAATATTTTAATAATTGAAACAGAAGTATTAAACACTCAGACGACACAATTTTTTTTATATTAAATGGACGAAATGAATTTAAGGAAGGCAAAAACTTTATTGAGACGTGGCAATGAAAATCTGACAATACAAATGTATTTGTTAGCTCAATTCTGGTACAATCACTTTGTACCCTTTTTTTCTTTTCTTTTTATCTTTTCACTGATAACTGGGCGTTCCGTCTTAGTCCCCAGAGGTGACAACGCAGAACAAAAACCAGAAGCATTTAAATTCTTAATCAAAAATAGATGTAGATATCTATGAGTTGTGGCATCCAATCCCCTTCAGGTGGTGTGTGTGTGTGCCTTTTGGCACCTTCTTTTTATTATAAACACGTTCATACACGGTTAGGTGTTGTTTTTGATATGTTGGTTTTGGTAATGGGCTTTAATGATGATGGTGATGCAATTATGGATGCACGTGGCTCTGGGTCGTCTGTGGTGGCATTCCTTGAAGCCTATGATGATGAAATCATTGTAATATCCTCATTAGTATTTGGTGTTTAAAATACCTGCTAAGTAAGTTGATAAAAAGAGCATAATCAGCGTATTTTTTTATGTTCGCGTGCTAAAAAGCTTTTAACTCCGTCATCACTAAAAGCGATCGCGGAGACGTCGTTAACCTTGCCAACAAACCTCTTTACAAATTAATTGATGCTCCACTCCGTGTCTGTTCGATCACTTACATTTAAATTAATCTTTTTGTTCAAATCTAGTCATTAAGTTTCAATTTATACACACTTCGAATTACGGGTGGAGAAGTAATTAATTTGTCGGAACGGATTAAATTGTCTTTTTTGCTTATTCCGCTGATTCGATTGGACAAAAAACAAAATCGAAACAAGCAAGCCCGAAAATAATATATAGTATATATATATTTTCAAATATAATATATAAAATAATATATATATATACTATATATATATATATATATATATATATATATATATATATATATATATATATATATAATACGACATAGACGGTCGAGATATATTATATGGTAATATAAGACTAACCTTTGCAATGCAGCTGTTGCCGGTTCTCCGTACCCTTGAGGCTCTCAGCGGTGTGCAGTAGTTCGTCCAGCTGCGGCTTCTTCTGTTCCAGCTCACGCAGCACACCCTGTCAACACACCAATAATTGAAAATATTTTATGTAGTAGAGCCATGCTGCAGCTATATATTGGCTGCATCACGATTTGGTCACTTTGATCTTTGGAGTTTGATCACGCACAAACAGAATATCAGCGTGAAATAGCAGCATAATGCTGCTTTGTTATCATTTCTTATTAGTCTTTAGGAGTGACGTTCATTCCATTAATAGAACATGAGCTTGCCTCCATGCCTCAAGGGATAATTTTATATGCCGTGTAGTGGCGGCGTAAGAGAATCCGCTAGCTCATATCTTCCTACGCGTGTCGCAAGAGGCGAGAGAGTATAATAAAACAGAAAGTTAGCATCATCTTTCTGATAAAAAAGCGAAACAATAAGACTGTGGCTGCCCGCACGACACCCAAGCGCGACAACTATTGCAAATGCTCTACATAAATGACAAAGCATCTAAAATTTGGTATTGAATCGGGCATAAATCAAGGTTTCTATGGGCTGCTGAATTAGAGCAGTAGAGTAGAGTAGTAGATTTAGTAGATTTAATAAAATGACATAAAGAAGGCCTATCTATCAATAGAATATCCACCACACCACAGCGTCTCATGGGTGTCGTAAGAGGGACTGAGGGAGACAAACCAGGAGATAAGCAGCAGTATCTTCTTAATTGTTTTTCTTAATTTTTACGTGGTAGAGCCATGCTGCAGTTATATTAGTAGTATAGTTGTAGCACGAATGGGTCGGCTCGACCGGGGAAGGACCACGCTCTCACAGAATACCAGCGTGAAATAGTAGCTTAATGCTGCTGTATTTCGTATGGTGAGTGTAGAGAACCGGAGACCCTTTTTACTGGAAACGAGGCATTCACATTTCAGTCCTCACGGGTGACAACGCATCTGCATTTTGATTTTTAATGGAGGATAGATGTAGATGTCTATGGGCCGCAGCAACCACTTACCATCAGGTGGACTGTGTGCTCGTTTGTCACCCTATCCTATAAAAAAAAATCCAACTAAACGACTATAAATAAAAATCTACGGTTTCCAGCATATCGCAAAAAACCCCCTATGAGATAATCTATCGGGGAGGCCTTTGTTCATCAGAAGACTTTCATGGGCTGTAATAGATGTATGATACTTTTAAACCGCCACAATACAGTTCCTTTTAAACTCTTTAAAAAAAAGTGAACTCATTCTCATATTATACGGTTACTAAACAAAACGATCCATACGTGATTCTTTCAATGTAAATAACATTGAGGTAATCCCGATTTCGTAATTCTTCCTATCATTAAAGATAAATAAAATCAACGCAGTAGACGAAAACGACTCTACACAATTTTTCTTCGCATCCATTTTCTTTAGGACAGGTGATTATTTTTAAGAGCATGTCCCCTGACGTTTCTCTTCGCGTCTTGACTTTGAATATAAACGTAGCCTGCTAGCACCGCACCGGGTAAAAATCTATTCGGGGTAGAGGTAATTCCATCAAGGATTCGATCAATAAACCCCATTTATCTTCGAATAACAATTCCGACAGACACTGGCTCATCATGCTGCCGGGACAATCTCAACAGAATAAAAATAAACCTAATTTTTTAATAAAAGCTAACTCAATCTTCATTATTACAACTAATTTTGATTGTAATATTCAAATTTTTTATTATTTCTTTTTAAATATTATAAATAAAAACGGCCAGGTTGGACAAAATATCTAGTTTGAAGAGCACCTCCCGCCCTCGCTGAATTGCGTGCACTAATCCCATCACCACCAATCCCAGCAACACTACTTCCAAGCTAAGTCTTAGCGGTCAGCCGCCGTAGTCAACATCACCTGAAGATGCCTCGTGAGACGCGAAACACGTGTCGTATTATCATCGATGGTGTGTCTTTCCTAGAACAGTGGCGTTGGGAGTAGTGTTGCCGGGATTGGTGGTGACGGGATTAGTGCACGCAATTGAGGGAGGGCGGGAGGTGATCTTCAAACTAGGGAAGACACATCCTTTTATTTAATTTAGCGGATGGTTGCAAAATAACTATTAATATCTTTACTCAATTATTTTATTTATCAAATATATTTTTAAGTTCATTATAGTAAGCGAGACAAAAAATCATAATTTATTCCCGGTGACAAGATTAAATGTGTGGCTTCTCGTTTTTTTAAGCGATATATATGTACATGGTTTGAATTTGGCATAGTTATTAATTAAGGTTACTAATTACATTGACTTGTGTCATTGTAAAGCAATCTGAAGTACCTTATGAATTATACTTATAGCTACCGGTGGTGTAAGAATCTCCATTAGCCCATATAGTGTATAGCAACTCATAGTGCAGGCTCATGTTCAGCAGTTGACTCTTGATGGGCCGTAAAGGTTGCGGTGCTAAGGGATAGGACAGTTAAGT